CCCACCTCCCTTCTACCCCCACCTCCCTTCTACCCCCACCTCCCTTCTACCCCCACCACCATCTACCCCCACCGTAGGACAGGTTTGTTGTTGTTTTTTTAAGATGATTTCTTTTTGTAGCCTTGGCTTTCCTGGAACTCGCTCTATAGCCCAGGCTGGCCTCGAACTCAGAGATCTGCCTGCCTCTGCCTCCCTAGTGCTGGGATTAAAGGCGTGCACCATCACTGCTTGGCTGACTGTATTATTTTTAAAAGTGTGTGTGTGTAGCGGGGGTATATGGTGCAAGGGCACATGCAGGACAGACGAGCAAGTTGTGTGTCCTGCTCTGTCTACCTCACACATTTTACAGAGCTTCTTACTGAATTTGGAGCTAGGCCAGCAATCTCCAGCAATCCTCCTGTCTCTACCCTCCACCCGCTGCTGGACTTTTTTGTTTGGGTTCTGGAGTCCATATTCAGGTCCTCATGTTTGTGCAGCCAAGGCTCTTACCTGATGAGCCATCTCCTCAGCCTCATGAACAATATTTTTAACTTGCTTTGTTGTTTGTAAAGTTAGTAAACTCGTATAAGTGCAAAAATGTGTCAAGAAAATCTTAGCTAAATGCTTGGATGGTGCTGGATTGTTAAAGAAAGTGAAGAGTGCTTGAACTTTACTTCCTTTCTTTTGAGATGGTAAATCTGTCCTACAGAAGTCAAGTTGGATCCATATGAGCCATCTTTACTGTTCTAAGGTCTTAGCTGAACCTGGCATGGTGGATCCCAGGCCTAAAAGAATTGAGATACACAGTTTATCTGGCAGGTGAAGCCAGGAGGATCAGAAGTTCTAGGTCATCCTTGGTTATATACACAGTTGGAGGCCACCTTGCAGCCATGGAGGGGAGGGGAAGGGAGGAAGGGAGATGGAGGGAGGGGGGCAGGGAAAGGGAGAGAGAATGCAAGCACGCAGGCGCTGGAGAGCCTTTTACCATCTCATTTGCTTTTTTATTTCTTGCCCTCTCCAACTGGGCTGCTATTTGACTGCAGATTGTAGTACCACCACTGCCTGGGAAAGCCTTGAAGCGGCAGCTCCCTTTTCGAGGAGATGAAGGAATCTTTGAGGAATCTTTCATTGAAGAAAGGAGGCAGGGCCTCGAACAGTTTATTAACAAGTAAGCCGATTTCCTGGCTGCTCTGCTTACTCTATTTGCCATCATGAACTTTCTTCCCTCCCTCCGCATTTTTCTCCCCCTCCCCCTTCCTCCTTTGTTCCCTTTTTGTTGGGGAGTGATTCCAGGGCCTTGTGTATGCTAGGTAAGCACTCTACCTCTAAGCTATTATACTCCCAACCTATCATGATCTTTCTATATATTTTTCTACTTTGTCTTTTTGTAATAGGTAGTATGATGTAGTGGGCAAACTGGATAGTTAAACTTCATTCCTGTGAATAAATTCTGATCCTGTATGTCAAAGCCTGAGAACGTAATGCATGTTAACCCTTTTAATTAGAATTTCCCTATCCTGTCCTTCTGTTCAATTTCCCTTCTACAATGTTACAATTTAGGTCATACCTCACTGCTGTCCCCAGAGGCTCAAACCTAAGGCTGATCATACCCTTTTTCCTCTCTTCATATTCCTATTCCCCTGCCAATTGTCTTTGATCCCGGAAACTACTGATAACCATTTTGGTCTCTTTATAGAATTGCTGGGCACCCACTGGCTCAGAATGAACGCTGTCTACACATGTTCCTGCAGGAGGAGGCAATTGATAGGAACTACGTCCCCGGGAAGGTGCGCCAGTAGGAGTCCCTCTCACCACTTGCCCTCTACTTTATCTGCTGAAATGACATTGATTTTTACACTAAGCCTCTCTCTCTTTTTGATCTGAACTTGGCTGCCCATCCCCTGGCCTGATAGACCGTCTTGCATTGGGCCTCTTGGTACCAGACTACACCATGTGGGCACTCTGCTAGTATCTCTTCTCTGAAGAGAGGTGGGAAACCACAGGCAGATGCTCTTTGCTTGGGGTTGGGGTGGGGGAGGGATTGGACTGGAAGGCAATTTTTGGGTATTTTACCCATGCCAGAAGGCTTAACCTTGGGGGGAGGGGGGTTTGTGCTGGTGAGGCACTGGGATATATTACTGATGCTGCAAGTCTAGGGGCTTTTTCTTATTCTTAGGTTTCACCAGGAACACTGAATAGGGAGAATCGCTGCTTTTCCTACCTGCATGAAAATTTTCCTTTAGGGGGAAGGTAGTAGAGACCCAAAACTTACTGTTTCTTCTAGGCCTGCTCCCAGTTTTCTCAGCAATTTTTTTGGTTGGTTTTTCTCTCCCTTGTTGCTTTTCACGGCAGTAGTCCTCATAGAGTTAAGCAGTCTGTTATGTGGAGCAGGGTGTATGGGTTTTATGGGCCCATCATCATGGTTACTGCAAAGTCAAGAAAGCCATAGGGTAGTAGGCTGCTCTTATTGCCTAGCCCCTATCCCTTTATGGCTCCCTACTCTGGCTGTCTATATTTTGCTCACTAGCTAATTAGTCAGAATGGGCCAGCAATCATCCCGCCTCAATCCTTGTGACTTTATGGGTTAGCTTTGTAGGTTTTGAGGAATAAGAGCAACTTACCACTGCCAGGTGACTTCCAGAATGGTGGAGGGGGTCATGTTCTAGGTTTCTCTACATGGTAAGGAAGAGCAACATCACTTTCCTCCTTCCATTCCTCCTTTTCCCATCTCATTTAGTGCTGTCCCAAGGGCAGAAACACACACACACCACAGTTTCTGATTGCTCCTAAGCACTTTGAGCTGTTGAATGGGGCTCAGAGGCAAGAGTTGTCTGCTGCCTTCCCCAGCTTGGACACAGGGTTATTGAACTGCCTGTACTTGTTTCCCATGGAACTCCAGTGTTGTTCCCAGAAACTGAAATAGGGCTAGCAGCTAGATGTAGAGTTCCCAAATCTTAGAGGCTAAAGCAGCTTCTTGAGGCTGGCAACTCTCCTAGGCTATTGTTTGGAAGGTGGTGGTTTGTTTGCTGGGACCTGCTGTCAGTCCAAATGATGGGATGAGAGCAAGTAAACTCTGGTGCCAGGGAAAAGTTGGGACTCTTGGCTTAGACTCCCTATCGTGGAAGGAATTGTGTTTTCTATGTAGGTCCTTGGGGAAGAGGATTGCTGATCCTGGTGTGATCCTGGTCAGAGAGATCAGGATTAGATTTTGACCTGGGTCTTGGAGCCCATCTCAGTGTTGAAGATCCTTGAGATAGATTAGCTCTCTAGCTGCTGAGCCCATGCTGGGGGCTGAGCAGCCCCTTTCCCACCTCACCAGTGTCCATGTCCTTGCTGCCTTTTGATTTGTATCCTCTGTTACAGATATTTTTTTAAAATATTTCTTCTTTCATTGTGCACAAGTGCTGAGACTCTGAGGCCCCATTTCTGCTGTGTATATATCCTGACTCGGGGCTTTTATTCAGCAAACTGTTCATTCTTCTGTCAGACAATGTCATATTCAACTCTGTTCATATTAAACCACTGTGAAGCAAGCCTCCGTTTTCCTCCTTAAGTTGTAAATTTACTATTTCCCAGTGTTGAGCGCATGCTGGGTATTGTGTAGAAGTCATGCAACATGGCCGTTGTCCTGAGGTGATGACTAAGCTTTGCACTTATATTACATTACAGAAAAGCAGAATCCAGGCTGCTTGTAGTAGTTTACCTAGAGTTTCTTGTAACTTACAACTAACCGACTTTGTCACATAGATAATGCATCTCCTTCCAGGAAGTAGCCATATAATATCTGTGATTTAGGTCAGATTTAGCTGATTTGATTTTTATGTTTGTGGAGTTTTGCTAATTTGAGTTGAATGTATTTACATTACATGTGTTTATATATGCTTATGTAATGTGTTATAACAGAAACATACATATAGACCCATCCTCTGGTACACCCACATATCAACAACAGTTTCTTTCATTGTCCTTTTACCTCATTCGAAGTTGCTTCATCGTGTTGTTTCTCAAACAGATTTGATGCAGACAGAAAGGTGGGTGAAATCCTGAGAACTTCTGATGGGTCTGTGTTTTCATCTAACTAATATGGTCTTGTACAGAATGGGTTCCAGGAAGGTTGGGATGAGGGAGGTAGGAATCTTGTCATTTGGTAAATTAAAGATAATTTTAGAGCTGGATGTGATAGCACATGCTTGTAATCCCAGCATGTGAGAGGTGGAGGCAGGAGGATCAGGAGTTCATGGCCAGCCTTCATTACGTGGTGAATTTGAGGCCAACCTGGTCGCCCTAGAAAACCTACTTTTCATTTATTTTAAAACGAAACAATGGTATAGAAAATGATGTGTTCAAAAGATGAGGACGTTACAGAGACATAAGAGTGATATTTGGTTTTAAATAGAAGAGTCAGCTGAAGTAAAGAAGTTAAGTAAGTTTTGATCATTAGAGAATGAGATGAATAAAAGATTTCTGAGGGAGTAGGAAGAATAGGTATTTCTGTGAGATAAAGGAAAGGAGTGATCAAGAGATACAGCCTTCATAGGCAGCAGTATTACAGGATGAACTGGAGAATAACTAGAAAAGGTGGCTATAAAATAAGGAACTAACAGTGTTTTAGATAGCTAGTATTCAGCTAGGTAGGTGAAGGGTAGGGTAATCAAAATACAAGTAAGATGAGTGAGTACATTCTATTTCTTCATAGACTTCACAAATCAAGAGCTCTCTATGTAAGACAAAACTGAGATAAATATGAAAGATGAGGTTCACGATAGCTAATTAATTATCCCCTTTCCCTACTTACTCTCTTATCTGAGACAGGTTTCATTTTGTGCCCATGCTTGCCTGGAACTTGTGATCCTCCTGTCTCTGCCTTCTGGGTGATAGCATTGTATGGGTGATTTCCTTTTATTATTAATTTTAATTTTCAACAAGTTCAATTTTCTCTTTTTGGAGGAAAATTGGCCATTTTAAACACAGTCACTAGGTCCTCTAAGAACCTTAAATCCAAGTCCTCTTTCCCATCCAATGAGTCTTTACTACTAATAAATCCCTTTTTTTCATTGCTCAGAAAGATTCAACTTTATATTGGCTTTTAGGAGAGAGAGAGGCTAAGAACGAATCTTACACATAGCTAGATCTAAAAGAAGCCTACATCTTAACATTCCAAAGATGCCTTACCTGCCCTTTGACCTATTGGAGATGAGAAGTTGAGCTAGTGAAGGTGGGAGAGGTGGACACCAACAGGCTTCACAGGATTTTCTATGCTCTGTAGCCTAGGTGAGACACGGCTATGTTGAAATACTTGGTGTAGTAATGTCAACAAAATCACCTGCTGTGCTAATTTAGACCAGCTGCTCACTGAAATGGCTATTTCTTCGTGGCCTTGTGGGCTGTTGAGTCACTCCTGGTATTCTCTTAGGCACAATAACCATTCGGATTTTTCTTCACTCGGTTTTTTAACCTTTTTATCTTTATAATTCTGAAATTTTCAAAGTCTTCATTTGTGCCTAAGCAGGGAGTCTAAAACTGAGTACTCCTTTAATTATAGCTAAAAGTTAGGTGGTTGTTACTCTGATTATACATAGTATAATTAAACTAGTAATTAAACTTTTATTTTTTGAGATGGGTCAGGTAGCTGAAGCTGGCCTTGAACTTGCTATGTAGCTCCTGATCTGTAGCTCCATTCTCAAATGCTGCCATTACAGGCTTGTGTTACCACACCTGGCTTTTTTTTTAATTTATTTTTTTAGACAGTCTCACTTTGTACCTCAGGATGACCTATAACTCACTATTTACAGGTTAGGCTCAAACTCATGGGTGAGCCTTCTGCCTCAGCCTTCTGAATGCAGGACTCAAGTCACCATGCCCAACTTCATGAATAATTTAGTTTGTGGTTCTTTGCTTCTCCCCTTCTGACCACCCACCAGGATCATTCATCTTTTCTTTTTTTGACTTGCTTATACAACAAATTGTCTTCTTAATTTTATTTTTAGATTTTTCTTTCCTACTCCCCTGTGTGTGTCTGTCTGTCTATACTTTTTTTTAAAAAAAAGATACTCATTTTTATATAAAACATACAAATTAGGAATAATTACAATTGTCTGTCTATGCTTTAAAAAATAGATACTCATTCTTATATAAAACATACAAAGTAGGAATAATTATCAATATCATGAAAGGATTCTTTAAACCCTTTGAGGGCTCCTTTAAATAGGTGGTTTCTATGGTGGCTTTATTTATTTGTCTGTTTTTGACTGTCTTACTCTGTAACATTGGCTAGCTTCAAACTCATTATGTAGCCCAGGTTGGCCTTGAACTCTCAAGAATCCTCTGGCTTAGCCTCTTGAGTGCTGCCATTTACTGTTGTATGCCAGCATGTCTGGCTCTTCTCTAGTGGTTTCAAATGTTTGTATTAGATATACATTCCTTTACCTAGAGAAACTGAAGATAAAGGGTTAAGATGGTTAACAGGAACTGTCAGCTAAAGGTAGATTAAAAATTAGGAGAAGAGGGCTGGAGAGATGGCTCAGTGGATAAAAGCATTTGTTGCTCTTGCAGAGAACCCTGATTTAGTTCCCAGCACCTATATGATGGCTTGCAACCATCTGTAACCCCAGTTCCAGGGGACCTGATGCTCTTTTCTGACCTCCATGGGCACCAGGCACGCCTGTGGTGCACATTTATGCAGACAGAACATTCACATAAGAGAAAACAAATCTTTGGGTTGGAGAGATGGCTCAGTGAGTAAGAGCACTGGCTGTTCTTCCAGAGGACCCTGGTTCAATTCCCAGCA